CAAAATTATAATAAACTATTAGTAAATAACCTGTCAAAATTCTGATGAATTTTGAAACCCGTCGTAACCGAAATTATATCAAAATTCTAATTAACAATTAGTATGTAACCTGTCGAAATTATGATGATATTTTTCTGAAAGGATTTAGGCAAGCATCCTTAGCCACATCTTTTATTTACATGTTCTTTATATGAAATTATAGTCAATATTGAATCAGTGACAATACCAAGTTTTTTGAATGTGAATATTTGATATTCTTTTATTGTTAAATGTCTAGTTTTTTCATTTCATTAATACTATTACAAATTTTGACTAATTTCCAGTTTGATTTCATATTGATTTCATCAGGAATTTGAAATACTAGCAGAATTGCAGTAAATTTTGAACCTGGTGACAAAAGGTGAAGAAAAAATATTCAGTTTAAAGAAATGCAAATATCTTTGCATGCAGTGGACCAAATTAAATAAATTTAATATTATTAGAAAGATCTAGTCAAGGCGCATCTAATAGTATCAAAATTATTGAATTTGATTTACTAGATGCAAAGATATCACGTCTTAAAAACACCATACAAAATTGTACAAAATTTTTTCATAATTTTGTATATTGTTTTTGAAATGTGATATCTTTGCATCTAGTTAGCCAAATTCAATGATTTTGATATTATTAGATATGCCTTAACTAGACCTTTCTAATGATATTAAATTCATTTAATTTGGTCTATTGGATATGAAGATATTTGCAAAAATCAATTTTCTTCACAAAATGATAAAGAAATTTTATACAATTTTGAATGATGAATCAAATTCAATAATTTTGATACCATTAGATAGGTCTTAACTAGACCTTTCTAATGGTATCAAATTCATTTAATTTGATTTATTGCATACAGAGATATTTGTATTTCTTTAAACTGAATTTTTTTTCTTTGTCTTTCATCACCATATTCAAAATTTATTATAATTTTATTAATATTTCAAATTTTCAATATTGTATTACATTATTGAACACACATTTCTGAATTGATAAAAATATTATATCCAAAGTTAGTGCATGAAAAATTGCAAAATAATAAATAGATTGTAATTAGATTTATTAATTTTCAGAATTTTGCAAACTTGAATTTGTTTGATTTGTCTAATTAAAATAAAAATTCTTTGTATTCAGATCACAAAAATTGGTTGAATATTAGAAGAAATATAAGCATTCAAAGTTGACTTATTTTTCTGGAATCATTGGTGTTGATTAGAGTTAGTAAGAGTTTCTGGATGTTCAGTTTCTTCATGTTGATTTCATTGTGATCCGATCTAATAAGTATTTGATAGGATTTTTGGGTGAAAGTGCTCTTGAAAAATCAATTTTTAATTGGTTAGTTTATTTTTGCTATCAACCAGAACACTGTAAAATTGCTTGATTAATACTTTTAATATGGATTTATTCAAAGAATGTTAAAGCACATTGCCAATGCTATATAGTATTTTTATTGGCTATTCAATTTGGTCACATGGTTAACGGATCTCCCATATGTACGTTCCGCATGTTCTCTTTTTCTCAAACATTCCATCGGATTTTCCTTTTTAATCGCGGTTTTCTCTCTTTTTCTCATGTCACAAACTTTATGCGTGTATTTAATCTTCTCTTCGTAAATACAAGCATGACATCAATACCCGCTCTCATTGCGTTTTACCATGTCACAGCGATCGAAGATTGGACGCATGTTAATATAAGCGAATATTATCGAGAGAAATTAAAGAACAAGGAATATAAGTTTGTAATGGATTCTATAAAAAAGGATCTTGTAAAAGTGAAACCAGTTCCGAATTTGATGAAATACGTCAAGAAAAAGCTCGAACGATTCTTAACAATTGGAATGTATGTATTTGTGTAAATTATGTATTTATATAAATTAAGAGCTTAGTTCATCAGTCATCGACGCTTGGCGCAAGCTGGACTCTTGGTCTGCAGTGTTCGACGCTTAGTGCAAGCTGAGACTCTTGGTCTACGAAATAAGCTCTCCAACGGTGATGAACTCTTGGTTCGACGCTTGGTGCAAGCTGGACTCTTGGTCTGCAGTGTTCGACGCCTAGTGCAAGCCGTCCATTAGTAGTGTCGTTTTGAAATATTTTTTTGCGTGTTAATTCTTATTATTATTTTTTTTTCGAGAATTGGGTTTCATCAAAGAATTTAAAAAAGGATTCGGATATACGTATGAATATTGAGCATCTGCAGGTGAGCTTCTTTCTAATCTGAAAAAATTTGAAAAATTTATGATAAAAACAGTGTCTCATTTTATCAATTAGATAGAACAACTTGCAACCGGAGATTCCCAGATTACCAACAACCACTGCATAAGAAATTACCAAGATGCGAATAATGGAGGGGATTCTTCCTCGATTAAGAGGAATCTTAGAAAGAGAAAATATGAAATAAATTATAGTGAGTTGCCAGAAGAAGACTCAGACTCAGATCGCGAAGAAACGATTAAGGATCAGCCACAAAAAAGGGTAAAAATCAATTCTAAAGATTTAAATTAAAAATCGCTTTTCTTAAAAAAATTTTCTATCTTTTGCAGGGTAGAAACGAAGGAGAAAGCATGACCAACGATAGGTCAAGAACCCCAACTCGTCAAATTGTATATCCTGCAAATCCGAACTTGTTTAATCAGCTAAATAAAGAAAAACAGCGAGCTAAAACCACTTGGTAAATAAAACATGTCTATCTTTGTATTCTTGTACTATTAATTAATTGTCACCATTTTTATTGTAGTGAACCAATTTGTTCAAACATAATCGATACAACAAACAACCTTTTAATGGAAAGATTGAAAATCAAACGTGATTATCCATGGGCTTCTGTAATAAACGAGGCCACAAAATATATCGATGAATTAATTGATAATGTATGTTTTAAGGATTTGTAACTAGTAATTTCCTTTTTCTTTATAATTATTACTAATTTCGCGCACTTTTTCCTTATCAGTCTGATACTCGCGATAAATTCTGTAGAAAGCTTCAACTTTCATTTTTTCCATCTGGTGAAACATACTCATTTAGAAAACACTATTAAATGCATTGGATTCATCGTTTTGCTGACAAATTGTGAGTTAAATCTCCTATTCGGTTCTCGTTTCTATCAGCAGAATTTTCATCGACTTATTCTTTATTATTTAGATCATTGTTTTTTGAAGCACCAAGAAACCCACTCTTAGATAAAAACTCTGAAGGTTGGCTAAATTGTCATATCTGACTCCGCTAATTGACGACTGTTTTTTAATGTGTGAGGAGATTCGAATTCATCGGTTAGTATGAAGTTTCCTAGTAAAATTTAATGTGATAATTAATTTCTTATCTTTGTGTCTCAATATTTATCCAAATTGGTTCTTCTGCTACTTCAGAGGTGAAGAGATATCGCTGGCATCTACTGAACGTAAAAACTTATTAAGAGATGAGTCCGAAAAAAAAATCTGGGCACAAAATTGATATTCTATTTCGTATTGATGATATGGAATATTTCGGTTCAGAAACATACGTTGACGAAGATCCACAAAACTCCAAACCGATTTCCTACAAGCATAAAATTTTGCAAATGAAGGATCAACTAGACCGTCTCTTGAAGAAGTTAAAATTTACAAGGAAAACAATTAAAGAGATAAAGAACATTGTTGTACATGGAATAAATCAAGGAGGTAGTTATAAAAAGCAATGGAAAAATTCTTGTATTAATTATCTTTCACTCTTGGTTGAGACCCATTATTTACATTCAAGGTCTTAACGGAAAGATCTATGCAATGTACTACGATAATAACCTTCAGTATTATTTCGTTTTTGAGACATGTCGGTATCGGATCGGTACTACGTGGGGAAGTATTCCGGAAAGTCTCATGTCTTTAAAAGATATTCTGTGCTTAAAGGTATGTCTTTGTATTGTCAATTTTTTACAAATTTCAGTTTCTAATTGTTTTCGATAATTACAGGAAGATATAAACAATGTTCTTGATACTGTTAAGAAATTAACTGCTTTACGTACAAAGTCAGAGGATTTATTTACTATAGATAATCTCCCAGAAACAACACCATCCCCCAAAAAAATTCCCAAGAATAAATTATAGTATATAAGGTTGTACTGCGAGAGTTTAGGCTTGAAATATGTGAGACGTGATTGGAGGTCTAGGTTTCGATATCCGATACTGAATAGTGTAGTGAAGAGTGTAGATTATTTCGTAGCTATATATTAAATATTAATTGTGAGCTGTATCCATTTTTCGATGTAAATATCGGGTTTTTTAGGTGACTTGAGGAGTCATGATGATTATTGGTTAAATAAAGGGATTTTCGCACGTAAATATATCAGCTGGAAGCCCTTTTACTTTGTAAAGAGATCGTGATTATTTTTTTTCTTGGCATTTTTCCGAGACCGGCTGGTCCTGCAAATTTTAATCACGCGAATTTAACTGTATAATAAAAAGATTTTGAATGAATGTGCTTTCTATATAAAGGGAGCGGTTAAAGCGTTGCGAGTCATGTGATCTGACACGGGATAATGTGGCTGACCCCACTTCGGAAGGAATCCGGTGTTAAAGTCGCAAATCAATTTTCCGAAGTGAATACTGAATCGGTCACCTGAAGAGTTACAGTTCTGAAAATGCAAAGTATTCAGTTTGCTTAAATTCCCGCAAATAGATTTAATAAAGATCTGTTTTTTCGAATAGGATCCCAACATTTTTCAACAATAAATTTACATCATCCAGGAGCGTCATTTGATATTATAGGCCATTCTCCTTTATAGATAGAGAAACAGATTATTAATTATGTTTATTGCATAAATATTAATTGTTGTAATTAAAAAAATTGTTTAGATCTTATGATACTATACTTAATAAACATATATAATTAAAAAACTAAAAACTTTTAAGTATTAGTTAAGAATAGAACCCAAACCATTTTTTAATTTTTCAATAAAAAGAACTGTTTGTTCAGGATCTCCTCTCTCCTCAACCCTCCAATACAAATTGCGTGTTCTTTCCATCAACTCATTCACGATCTGTCATCGATCTTTAGCTGCTCTTTCAGTTTCGCTTTTTTCAGATATTACGACCCTTACTGATTCTCGATGTTCATATACCACAAGTTTACACTCTATAAAAATTTTTTGAAATTGTTTCCATACATTAGATGTTAATAATTTTTTAGCTCCATGCATGTGCTCGTGAAATATGTGTCAGCAGGACAACTGGTACTGCCAGAAAAACAAATAATAGCAATTAGGAAACATCAAACCAGATGTCACTTTGCAGTTTTTTACTCTCTTTTCAACGGCACAGACTTCGATAATAATCAATTTTTGAATTGAAAAAGGAAACTTATAAACTTCTTCGAGAATTTCACAGTCGATGCCAGCAGCAGAAACTTTTCTCGTGCAAAATTCAAAGATGGCGTACTCCGAGTCTGAACGCTTCTTTGCATCAAGCAAAATAATGTTATGACACACACCTAGAAGAAATAAATAAATTATAGTTAGTTCAGATGAAGAAAACTAATAATTGATCGAGTAACAAGTGAATAGCATGATTTTGCAATTAAAAAACTTGTAACACATATTACAAAGAAAAACTAGTAACATGATCGCATAACAAATAAAGCAAATTGTAGATTATGAAATAAATGAAAAAAGTTGATAGCACAATCACATAACAAATGAAGAAAGTTGATTGCATAATCACATAACAAATAAAGTTAATTGCACTCACATAATAAATACACAAAACTAGTAGTACAATCATATAACAAATAAAGCTGGTTTTGCGATCATGTAATGAATAAAAAACCAATAGTCACGTAATAAATAAAGAACTAATAACACGAAAAAAAGTTGGTAGCACTAATTAGTACGATCATGTAATGAATGAAAAAGTTGATTGCACAATCGTATAACAAATAAAGAAGTTGATCACACAATCATATAACGAATAAATAAAACTAGTAGTACAATCACATAATAAATGAAGCTGGTTTCACAATCATGTAATGAATAAAAAACTAGTAGTTATATAATGAATAAAGAACTAATAACACAAATTGTGTAATGAAAAAAGCTGGTAGAATTATCACACAACGAATGAAGAAAACTAATAGCAAACAATCATATTATATAAAGAAACTTACCAATTAAATCATGCTGAAAAGAGATCATTTTTTTCAATTCACTGTGATAAGACTCCAGGATGTTTGTGAATGTTACTTGTAAGAGGAGAGAAGAATGTTAATGAGCCCAGAGAGCCCATTGATGCGTATTTTGCGTATAGTTTCTTAAGATATATTGCTTAACAGTGGGGACCGGACAATTATCGATCGCTTGTTGGATAAGCGTCTTACAACTGATCTTTGTTATTTTATATATTGATTGTATCATTTTTTCTCAAGTCCTTAAATAATAGATTTTACCCATCCAAGTCTGCATAACATGGACAGTGCAAAAGAGAACACTACACTTATTATTTTTTCAAAGATCTGAAAAGGCGATTGCGATACTGTTTGCTTTCACGTTACTTTGATCTGCCAGAAAGTATCGAGATTTCCAGCAATGAGCAAGCCGTCAAATTATTATTAGAGCTTCCACTACTGTATTACTAGTTTCATTACTTACAAAAAAATATCCTTCCACGTCCCAATATTCATATTCATCACGGATATATAATGTAAATAAGCACCAGTCATAGTGATTTGTTTTATGAGTGAAATCAATTAGTGTGAGTCACCCATAATTCTTAAGCTTTTCAAGTTGATCTGAATGCGTGAAAACAAAGCCTTGAGTAGATTGTTGAAGAACTTGATACTGCTCCACTTGATATTGTTTCTTTTTAAGTAAGAAGATTGCTTCATTGATATTTATCTCTAGATTATCAGAGCCAAGAAAAAATGAGTTTTTAGAGTAATTAATTTTATATTTGATATTGATAACTTCTCTCTGTCTCAGCTCTTTTACGCTAGAACTAAAATCCAATTTCTCAATCGCATATTTCTTGACTGCATTAATAATTACTGACAGTTGATAGTTCTTGATAGCTTCGTTTTTCACCAAAGTTCATATCACTTGTGATCTCTTTAATCTCTCACTATCTTCCAAAGAATGTGTATGATTAGAAAAGCTATTATATTGTTCAATCTGTACTTTGTTTTCAGTGATGACATGTGATATTTTAATCTTTGCGAAACATAAATTTGGTGATCAAATTTAGTTTTTCATCTCTTCTCCATCAGAATACCTTTTTGTCGCATACTCAATTATCTGAATTTAGTAAAATGACAAGTATAAATTTTCCAGAAGTTATCATTTTGATATTTGTTGTGACTAAATTGTGTTTAGATATTAGAAACAAGAGATCACCATTCATTGTCAAAGTTATGTATAGGAATTTCAAGCAGTTAATTGATATTAAAGAGAAGTTCACGTTTTTGATCAGAAGTTAATACTGTGAATGTATGAATATTCATTTTTTTATTATTTATAAGAAAATTCCAAGTAAACTAAATATTATTGTAATTAGATATTTTCGTAATCACAAATGATCATCTCACATAATCGCTTCACATGATCACTTCACATAATCATCTTACATGATCACTTCACATGATCACTCCGAATGATCATTCTAAATGATCATTCCAACTGATCATCTCAAGCGCTCCAAATGATCATTGCAAATGATCATTGCAAATGATTATTGCAAACGATCATTTTAAACACTCCGAATGATTATTCCAAATAATCATTTTATAATTATCAAATATTTATAAATACAACTTGTATCTTAGCTTAGAACAAGTCAACAAGTTAACAAGTTAATGAGTTTTTAGTTTTATGTTTTTTTAATAATCTTTTAGATAGTATTTTCATAACCTCTCGTCACTACTGCAAAGTTATATTATCTTATACAATTTTGTATTTGACCTCTCGTCTATATTGTGAAGTCAAGAATAGTATTAAATTAATAAAAGAAAATTACATCTTACTTGTTTATAAACTAAACATTCGATTTATAACAAATTGATTTATAATAAAAATACTATTATCTTTGAATCTTTCTGGTCTCATTCTAGCTGACCAACAAAATGAATATACATTACCTAACTTTAGATAACTTAGTAAACTCTCCCAACTTAAAGTTATTTAATACATCAACTCTCCCACCTGACTTTATCACATGTACTCTCGTGACAGAATCCAAAGTCATATTAAAACGGTAACAAAATTTTGGTGCCCCCTCTGTGGAAAGGAAAGTTTCAAAGACATCAATATCGGAAGAAAAGCTTTAAAGGCATTAAAAATAATAAATCAATTAAACAAACGAATTCTTTGTAGATGAACCACTCAAACAATCAAACTGGATCCAACACAATCAACTGACATAGAAATTGATCAGTTATTTGAAGAATTAAAAGACGAAACGGACTTACCAGAAAATCTAAACAAACAACAATTGAGAGAAATTAAAATTCGACTAGCAGAAGTATTTGCTACAACACGCCTAGGAAATCCAACCAGTAAACCGATTCAACAACTTGAAGAATTATTACTACACTACTCATCACAAAAAGAACAAGAAATTCAAACTTACTTGTACCATTTGCAACAAGATATCCAAATATTCACAATACAACGAAAACAATACTGTCGACAACAAAAACTTCGAGAACAAATAATTGAACTTCAAAATCCAGATAATCAAATCGTAATTCAAAACGATCCACCAGTACAAATTATTGAAGAAGATCCAGAAGATCAAGTAATCCAAATAGACGAAGATAGT